AAAAAAAAAAAAAAAAAAAAAAAAAAAAAAATTGTTTTTCTAAACTAAAACGAGAAAAGACAGTGAAGCTGACGAAATGAGCTAGCGAGGCAACCACATTATCGTAGCACAGTACAGACGCATCTCCAAAAAAGCATGGTTCTGGAAATTTGCATTACAACAAACTAGGTTTTTTTGTGCTATCCTAGTTGCCCCTTTTTTTTTATTGTTTTTTCTTATAATCGTTTTCAGTCAAAGGTATCTCAGCGTTTTTCCTATGTAAAGTAACTTCGTTCCGGCAAAATTTTAACTGCGCACTATAAAATTTTTACTTCCTCAATTTCAAAACGCTAGGCCTTAAATATGGGAAAAAATAAACAGTTATGAATTCTAGAATAAAAAGCTTTTAGAAGCCACAACAAATGAACCACCATCAAGGAAATTCTGCGGCAGTATCTGGCCTGGTTCTCGGCCATTATAAGCAGCCTTGAGAAAATAAATTCAGGGTAAACGAGTAACCACACAAAAAAAAAATGAAAATTTTGAAAAGCCGGATGACGTCTGCGACGATTTATTAGAAACTTTGACTTTTGGGCGTCACATTCTCCTAACGCTTTTTATTTTGTGTAAGAGTCTCCTCAGTTTTTTGATTTTAAACCGTTTCCAGAAGTACAAAAAAGTAAAATACAAAATGCTCAAACTAGTTAAAATAACGATAACGTCTTATTTAATTGTAACTTAAGTGCTATATCAGTTGTAAAAAGCAAAAGAATATGTTCACAGTGTTTCTTCAAAGTTCTAACAGTAATGTCTCAACTCTTTTCAAAAGTATCCCTGTTGTTTTAAGAAAAAAACTTGTAGCTGCTGTGCTTATTCAGTGCAAGGAATAGAAGAATAAAATTTTTTGTACCGATTTGATGATAACTAACCTTTAGTTCGAGTAAACAATACGACTGACCACCGCTGCTACTATACATTAAAGGCAACCTTTCGTAATTTCCGATTGTATATCGCGGACAATTGCCCGTAATCGCTGCAAATATTTTAAAAAGCTTTGCTATTCTAACTCAATTTGCATGCTTCTCTCGACTGATTTCTCAAATCTTTTTTAAATTTTTACGAATAAGAGAGGTCACGTGAAGATTAAAGAACGGAAGTTTGTCTTTGTTTCATCCTGCCAGTATGCCTATTATTCAAGCGATAATTCTAAAATTCAGCAATCCTATTCTGTACGAAAATCTGTTCTCTTCCCTTCTCCGGCTATAAAGATTTGTTGCATAATACAAAAGCTTGACAAACGTACGCAAAAAAACAGCATTTGCAAGTACCGAAAAACAATAATATTCAGGATTTCCAATCTCTGTTAGAAAATGTAGGGGAATTTTGAAATCCAGAGTTATATTTGGTCAACACGTCGAAATGAAACTTTGTGATATATTTTGCAAAAACTTTGCGTTCGAAACTATTTTAGAATAGTGAAGTAGAAAGGTTGCGAAAAAATTGCATCAACGGAAAAGCAGCTCGAACGCAAAATATAACG